AAATTTTGCTTTTTTTTTCCAAAAATTTTGAAATTTCTCAAAATTTGCAAAATTTTGTGTAAGAGTTTAATTTTGCGAAGCGGTACGTTGCTAGCTTCAAGTGAAATACGCCGCCACATGAATTTATTTCATTTCAGCTAATAGGCTAACGTTTCAAGCCAGATGCTATGCAAATCGCTTCTCCTTATCAATGGTTTACAATTGCTATTTCAAGTAAATCTTTACTTTTTTTTTTTTTAGAGTTGATACATTGAACTCTGCCATCTCTCTTTCGTGATTTAATGATTAATAAGACATAATATGAGTGAACGGTTTCTATCGTCAGCCATCTAAGGCAGTCTGTTTCAAAAATCGAATCAATTTCCCTAACAAAGTTTGGAAGCACTTGAAGATTCCCAAACATGTTTTTCATTTAGATTTAATCTTTGGAATTTGTTACTCTTTAACGAAAACAATAACTGACCACGACTGGCATTCTAGGTAAATATAAAATTCTGATCTGCTTCGGCAATGTGACTCTGAACGAAAAATCTGATGGACGGGAAGGGGTAATCATTCGGCAAAGAATTGATATCGTTTCGGCAAGGAATTGATATGTGGTGACACCTCTGGATGTACTTTTTTGATATTTTTTAATATATTAATATTTTTTTCACGCTTCCATACAGATTTTACTTCATTCTTCGACATTATATGCAAATCCCAAAACTAAATTAAGCAAAACAGAGATTTTGTCAAACTCGAATTTCTAGTAGACATGCTAATAGCTCTTGTATATATTAAAATAGGAACATTGTTGAATAAATGTGCTAATTTTTCCTTACATTTTGTTGAAGTATACCAATTGTTAAATTCAAGCACACCATGCTATCCTCCATACTTCGTAATTGTGATTAAAAAACTCTGTGTAGAATCAAATTCTAGAAAAATCTTCAAATCTTCAACGAAAAAGTCACGTTAGATCATCCATTAAAAAATGAGGAATCCTTAAATCAAATGCTAGGAAAAATAGCTTTTTTCTAACCTTCTGAATTCAACAAAAATTTTTGAGTGAAGGGAATGGAACATGTGAAAGAAGCAATGTCAACGCACTGCTTCTCAATGGTAAATTGTATTGCAATAGTGGAACACTGACTTATAATAAGCAAGGGAAAGGATTGGGATGGAAACAAAATATTATTTCGGGAATAAAATATTCCGCATAAGTCTACTTAGGAATCCAAAACAGAATTTGAAATTCGTTATTGGTTTTGAAGCTGATATTCGATACGAAATACTATTTGTTATATATCAGCTGATGCTTTGATAATACTAGTAACAGAATCAAATTCCCAACAAAATTCAATCCTCTGGCATTAAGACGAAAACATTTTTAGGATGGGTCAGGAAGGGAAGACTGGGAATATGCTCAATTTCCGGATCACCTATCCCAGGCAGTTCTTGCTAGATTGGAAAAAGCAGGCAGAATAACGTCTGAAAAAGTAAAACTATTACATTGAAGATGAATCTGGGAACGTTCTGTTTGATTTTCATCCTTTTTTGTTTCACTCTCAAGTTGATTACAATACCGCTGTTACTGTTGTTATTCATCATTCGAATCTGTCTAATTCGACAAAATTTACATTGAAAATGAATTAAGATTTTTTCGTGCTCGTTGTCGGTGAAATCTCATTTGGAAACTAATAAAAACCTAGCATATGCTCCTTGCAGTATTGTAACACTGAGTGTTAATTATGAGCATGGTGACACAAGAGACATTCTTAATTCTAGGTCTACGACAACACAGTATCACTTTTCTACGAGCACGAAAATCCAAAACCCCCAAACCGTCCACTACAGTGGGCTATCTTTCATAATCTATTCATTTCCATTGCTTACTCGGTCAGGTACTCCTTCACTTGCATATTAATACATATGTTAAAAAAGATATCCTTTCATTATCTTGTTGTAGGCTTTTACCTTTCATTTTACTTTCTCACTCCTCGATATCATCAACGAGATGAATTTTTGGAATTTATTTTAACCTTCCAGCCTTTAAATTTTAATAACAAATAAATATGCCTTCAGAATCCGAAGACCAATGCGGATGAATACAGAAGACTCTCTCGCTTTCTCATGCTTTGCCAATCCTTTGACGGAAGATTATCAAATTTCTCTAAGATACTGGAAAGTAATATTAAGAAGAGTAAGAGATGTCATATTCCCAACATGCGGAATTTCTTTCAAGTCCCTTGGCAGCCTAATATTCGATTTGACAATCATTTTCTCGTCATTTTAATTTGATAGTCTTTTTTTTTTCTAGATGTCACAAAAATTCATCCTATTATGAAGTTATTCGCCGACCCTTCCGCACGTTCCCTCCTTCAATTCACTCTCATATCCGATCTTATTAACGAGGATGGGTCACCACTAAATTATTGTCCACTGCAGAAAGTGGGTTATGATTCTTGAATAAATACTGACCACATGTGACATAAAGATCTGCGTGAAGAAATAATCAGGATAAAGGAAAAATTACTACTGATACTGCGGTAGTGATACTGACAACATCTGTGACAAAGAGTAATTAGCAAAAAGAACAGGACTCGGCACATCATTACCAACGAGATATAAAGCCCGTAATGCAGATGGATTGAACAAATAAAAAAGGAACGCGGTACTCTAAACAGCAAAATCTATTCAAATGAACATGGAAGTAGTTCGAATCTTCAAAACTATAATGATTTCGTGAACATATTACTAACAACCAGAATAACAAAGAGGGAACATAAACAGGTTGTTTCATGAACTGCTTCTTACCGCAAAAGAAAAAGCATTGTGTAGATATCGCACAATGCCTATTAATAGGCTGATTGGCTCTAATAATAGGGATGGCCGGAAATGTTATGCAACGAAGCGCAAAAGGAGAGTACGTATCAAACCATGGAATTTTCTCATCGCTTATCAACTCTAGGCAGGGAGTTCGATCACTGAAGAACTGATAAAAAAGCTATCAATTATCTCCGGGTTTTAGGTATTTTATGAAAGAGTTTGAAATTCCCGAAGTTTTGTAAAACCTGAAAAAGGATACTTTGAAAATAAAATCACGCGAAAGTTACAGTTATGTGGCGTGGTCCCTCACTTTCCCGAAAAAAAAGATTGAATAGTCGAGTTAAAGAGAAGAAAAGGTCGTCGACCCTTTATTACACCACAGTTCTCTTCTCTATCGTTGTGTGTATATAATTTATAGGAATATTTTACTACTCAGATCGTTGTCGTCGTCATTGCCGTTCCAGTGAGAGTGCCCAATATAATGGGAAGGGAAGGATTTCCGCCATCTCCGATCACATCAGTTATAGAAGGCAGTTTCTGTGCCCTTTCTTCCCCACCAAAATAGACTTCTCGACTTTTTAACAAATCCTCTGAAAGATAAAACAGCCTTCTCTTTCTTTCAAGATCTTTCATTGATAAAGTAATGCGAGAAAAGGGAATTGACATGACAATGGATTTCAAGCAGCAAATGTGGCGCTCATAGTGATTCCCTCGATAATGTACAAGACTATGATTGGCTGAGAGGAGGGAGGTTTTATGATTCCCCGTCCACTAAACACAATTTTCAATAAAATGAAAACGAAACTCGAACTGCTGATTCAATACATTCCCTTCTCTGCTTAAATTCACAGCATAAAGATATTGAGGTGATGGACTGAAAGGCACATTTATGTATTGGTAAGCATTAATGACAAAGCAGAAAAGATAGTACAAAACAAAGAATAGAAACATTTCAACAAATGATACGATCCCTCAAAATCAATACGCTTATAGCAAGTGGCATATCTAACGGAAAGAAAAATGGAATTAGGAGTGCCCGCCCCGTTCATCCGAGAGGGATGCGAGGTTGTCTGAAAGCAGAAAGCATACATACAAATGATTTTGATGAACAGCTGGCGGATTGAATGTACGTGCGTTTCCAACAAGGTAAATAGATACTGTCTGGATAAATCGTTTAACGACAGTAGCTGGAAAGGACTAAGATAGACTGAGAAGGCTCCTTTATTTAGAAAAGAGTAAGATGCAGCTTCCTTGACGAGAGTGACACGAAAATTCAAATCTGCTTTAAGAATGCTCATTCGACAAATTTCCGAAACGACTGCAATGGTACATTTCTCTTTTATTCCCGCTTTAAAATGTGACAGTCGCCTTCCAAGATTTTTACTCTTGCCAACTAAACCAAACTCAAGGCGGGTGTCATTTCCGTGTATTGATCCGCAGAAAGGCAATATTTCACTTTGCAGCTACCAGAAATTGTAAAGTGTTGTTGTGAAGAAAGTGCTGAGGATAAGCAGGAGGAGAAATCCGGGCTTTTCCTATCGACCCGAGGGGGACCAACCTCTACATAAAACAAATACCCCAACAATTAAGGATTTATGATGGCAGGGAAGGGGGCAAGAGAACCAGAAAGAGGATTATCGATGAAGATCCTTTTAAAGTCTGAAATGAAAAGTACTTCCGGGTAAGCGCTACGGAATGATCTAGCTATTTTGCGGAAAGCTTCGAACAACCGCTTTCAAAATCCCAACCGAACACAGTCAGATTCATACGGAAAAATGAATACGCTTTAAGTGGAACATGGTGGATAAAGACAGGAGGCTTTTCATTACGATACTCCATGAAGGTATGTGCAGGACTTCCAGGATGTTTTAAAAATATGCATGATGGGTCAGAGGGCGTGGAAATACGTCGTGTTATATTCTTGGTAGTAATTTCAAAAAAATTCGTTAATTCGTACAAAAATATACTTCGGTGAATTGTGATACTGGTGTAGAAAGAGTTGTACCGTACCAGGAAACTAGAAAGCAGTGCGGTTCTCGAACATCTATCGATTACTAGCTACATCAATTGAAATCTAAAGAAGCATTGTAGGAACCACTTCATTGTGGAGAAGGCATCAGCCTTCAAGAAGACAGCATGAAATGTTTAAACTTACAATCCATCTACTACTGTCTCTCTTACGTCGTTCATTTACAACAGAACGAGCTCTTTCTCTTTATTCTTCTATTTCTTTTCAAAATTTCTCTTCAATTCCAAAAATTCCATCATGGCGGAAAATATTGACTGTAGCTAATGACATAAACACCAAAGCTTTGAGTGACCTTGACAGTTCCTGCTCACACATACAATCTAATCTATGTTTTGACCCAAGCAGAGAGCACATCTCGGTCATTATAGGCCTTGCACTACAAGCCCAGTTATTTGAGGGCTATTCGAGGGACTATGTGGCCGCTCCGAAGTGAAGGCCTTTCCTCCCGCTCATTCAACAGTTTACATGCGTAAGACTAAGACTACTGCCAACTTTTCAAGTTTCCTAAGGGAAGACGCACACAACACAGACAGACACGTACACACACACACACACACCTGTACATACACACACATATATACACACGCATATATATATACACACACACATATATACACACCCACAGCACACACACACACACACACAAATATAGACATATATATGCGTATACACATTCACATACACATACACACACATACGATTACAGATCTCGGAGGAGGAAACAGACGAGCAGACGGGCAGAGAATATAGAATGGAGGGGTGTTTAATATGAACGATCGATTAGATGCTGTTGTGTTGAAGACGACCATGTGCAATATGCGAGCCCTAAAAATGACAGGCAGGGACACGTGCGTGCACACACGTGTATTGACACATATGGACATACTTAATAGGATGATTGGTTCATTATAAATGATTATAAAAAAAAAAATGATTATATTCATTATATTCAAAATGATTATATTCATTATATTTAAATGATTACATTCATTATAAATGAATAGCATATTTGTTGAATTTATGAAACAGTCCCTGTTGGACACATAACATACGAAAAAACATATTGATTAGGTTAGAGTAAGGAGTGTGTGTCATATAGGATAAAGATGCGTACGTTTGGTATGACGTATTGATGGGGTAGGACTTGTCCGTCTGTCTGTCTGCCTGTTTATCTGTCTAAATACTCTCTCTTCATGATTGTTATAATTAGCACTTATTGGACGAGCATTGGACAGTTTTTCTACATTGAATGTTTTTATATATTTGTTAGCCAAGCTTCTTTGCCCTTTCAGCAGATTTACCAATGGCCAAGCCCGAGAAGTGTCACTGTCAAGATGGGGTCGTTTCTTTGTGAGCATTTTTCATGAGGAGTGTATGTACTGTTTTAAAAAACTTTCAAAGGGAAATTTTTGGAAGTATTTCTTTAGGATGGAGTAGCTTTATTTGTTAACACCAAGCCAAAAGTGTTTACCAGTAGTGACCAGTTGGGGCTAATCTAATAGTGGTTTTCTCACTTATTCCCTGACAAAGAGTCCATGAAATCTGGTCTAGAGCTTTGCCTTATTTGGTCTAGACTTGTCAGGCATTTAATATCCTAAATAAATTTGGGGGAAAAAGTACATCGGTAGAATTACATGAAATATGCTCATTTTCCCTTTGATAGGGGACATCACTGGAGATTACCAATGACTAATCATTTCTCCTTTAACCGTTTGAACTCATACCATCACGTGATCTGATATCGAACGAAAGGTTGGTTCTTTTCCTCGTTGCCGTTCTTCAATTTTATCCATGGAAAGTACGACAAAAGACTCTCCCCTCTCAAAATTCGAACACTTCCCCCCCATATACCTCACCTACGTTCTTCTCTATGTCTTGTCTGTCTCTGCTTTCACATACATATGTATCCGTAACTTTCAGACTCCTCATCATTTTTGTCTCAAAGCAAGTCTGCCATCCATTTTGCTAATGATATGGTCCCCGTCCCTGCATTGTTTCCACCGACGCCAACATCATTTTCACCCGTTGAGATATTACTATACGGTCCCCACGAATTGCATTATTTTCTCTTTGTCCCCCTGTCCTGCACTCTCTATCTTTCTCATTAATATTGCTATTTGCTGGTTGATTAGCTGGATGTCAGACGAGCAGAGGAATCGTTCTTTCTGATGCGCGTGGCAGATATTTCTGCGCCACGCATTTCTAATAAAATTTTCAACGAATTTCATGCATGCACATCTTGTATCCGTGCATTCATGCTGAATGCACGACACATCTTGCACTCGTGCATTCAGCATGAATGTAAGATGTACAGAGTGGCTAGGTGGAATGTTGGCAACAGATGACTCATTCCTAGAAGCAGTTAAAATGGAAAAGCTGCAATAATGCAACATTTCCAGAGAAAAGTGGGCTGAGATCCATCCGACGTGGTAATAAGTGTATGCAGCGGAAGTTGTCGCATAAATACGTGCACGTGAAGTAGGAGTAAAGGTTGCGTGTACAGAAACAAGTAAGGTGGGAGCAAGGTATGTGCATGTTTTGTGGAGAATTAATAAAGTAGCTTGGAGAAATATGAGCAAAACACTCTGCAATCAAGTAGTGTAGTGCATCGTCTTGCATATTTTTGATCACTGATTGCCCGCGTGCTTTACCCTCATGTGAAGAGTGCAGAGGTGGTGCAACGGGAAGATGTAGTGGATGCACTGTGCACATCGTCATCATTACTGCTTACAGTTTTCCACGGAACGTTTGATTGGAGTGTTATGCGATCCTTTGATAATAATGATGAAATAAGCGCTTAAGACCAGTTAATTATTTGGTGATAAGGTGACGCGTGGGTGTTGGCAAATCATACTATAAGGCTGCTTGCTTTTTTCAAAACTTCGAGTTCCATGACGAGAAAGACAAGGCTTTCAGTAGGCATGCCTTCTTTCTTGCCTGACCTTTGCTTGCAGTGTGGGTGTGTTCGTGTCTGCATGTATCTAGCAGTGTTCTGTTCTTGGTCTGATTCCTTGATTTGAGTGAGCAGATCGCAAGTTATTTCACAACTTTCAGGATGGCTAGAGAGCCGAAGTCTTCGTCCTAAAACCTTGGCAATGAAGCCGCTTAGGTCAGATACTGCCTTAGTATTTCATTCTGTTAAAAGTAGTCAAATGCCGTATTCTCACCATCAGGCGTAGACCGTCACTTACCTGTTCAACTTTTCCGTTTATCTTATTAAAGGGTGATACTTTAAGTGACCCTGGAAGATCAGACATGAGAAATTCAGATAAATTAAAGCATTTCTGGATAAGATCTATTTTGACCTGGGTCACATGCTGTGCATGTTGGCAATGAGCATCAGTTTTTCGGATGTCTTATGACAGTCTGCTGATCGGGGATTGAAACTGAGGGTTGAATGAAACTTTCTCTTCATTATTTTATTTATAAAAGTTAATGGTGTTTGTCAATTGTCAGCGACCCAAATACATAGAAGTTTGATTGGATGTAATAGTTCATTTAGCTGGTTATCTCAAGCATTCGTCATTTGTTCCCTGGTTGGTAATTTCATTTTATTGGTTCACTGTGTGTAATACCAAGGCACCTCACTACTAGAATTGTTCGACATTTGCGTAAAATTTTAGTTACAGAGAGTTCGTGTAATTGTACAATCAAGTGTACCAATTGATAGCAGTGGTATCTCGACCATTGTGTTTTCCAGTGCACTATCGCAAATCATGTGAAAGCTGTAACGATTCCGTCCGGTCGAACGTTACCCTTCACATTGTCCTTACTTTAACTTTACAGTTCCTTTGAAGCGTTTTAATTTACTTGCAAAGGAAATTAGAACTTTAACCAGTAAAGTACTAGGACTCTTAGTTTTGTGGTAGAAGGATATAAAAACGGCAGAGTATTGGGAAGTTCACGTTTTATGACTAGAAACGCACTAGTCCTTTCAAATAATATTGCTTGAAGTGTCTACTGAAAATCCACTTGAAATTGAAGAACTGACACTGAGGATCCTAAGAAGCATCTTAAAAATTAGACAAGACATCACGTAATTTGTTCTTCACCTCGTCTGCTTGGCTCAGTGTTGATGTGGGCAAAGAAGTCAGTGACTCATCCCTGCGTCGGAGTGCATATAAAAATATAGATGTGAGCTCTGACAGACGTGAACGTTTGCAGCAATTATGGTTTTATTTTAAATTGTATATTACGAATGAAACAAATCCAGTTCACGGCCTTGAAACAGCTTTACGTTTGTTGTTGCATGTTAATCAAAGTATTGAACTATCGATCCAATATGAGCACTCATAGTGATCAAACAGAAAGTGATAAGTGAAATAAATAAAAGTGACGTAAGTGAAGTCCATGTATCTGCGGGTATTGCCGTCGCCGGCATTTGTCATTAATTTTAAACTTTCGCTACACGATTGCCAGAAAAAGGGGCTCCTCTCTTACTCTCCTCTACATGATCCTCTCCTCTCTCCTCAGTCATCATCCGTTGCTCTCACTGCAACTACTATTACTATTCCTGCGCTGTTGCAAGAATTGGAAATGAGGGGCCGTCACATCTTATTCTCATAAATCATGAATTGAAAGGATTTCGAACTGTCTCCTCTCGTCTTTTCTCTCGGGTATAGTGCATTCGAAAAGTTAGCTAACAGTTGCATACTGTTATTCGTCTGCATATGACACTCAAATTCGTGGAGAGGTTATCATTCCTTCATCTTCATTGGATTTTCTCGACTGAATTTCCTCGATAAAAACAAATTTCTTCGTTTATTCCTGGTAAATTTTGCGACACGTGAAGTCGAAAATTAAAAATAAGCCTAATGATGACTGCATCATTTAACTGGCTTTTGCGTAAAGGCTGTAATAGAATTAGGATAGCCTAAGTCTGTTTTATTGTATTTTGCAAAAGGAAATTTCAGTGGATGGTATCACTGTTGTCATTATCTGGTACCATTGGACTAAGTCTAACTACTGCCACGAAATCCCGCATCTGGAATTCTTTTTTGCGTAACCTTGTAAACGATTATTGAAAGGTGTTTTTATTGCATTAGCTTTGATCTATGCCCATTTTTTATCTTCCCGTAGATTTACTAGCACTTTTCCCTGAAACCTATATTCCTTAAACCGCGATAATGGTGTTTCATTGCAGGAAAATTATCGAAGTTTATTTTGAAGTGGAAAATTATTCATAATCATTACAGCACCTGAAAGGTTCAATCAGTTTTATGGAGAATATAAATTTCTAAATCGTCTGGAAACTGGGACTCAATAATTCTCGGATTTTAGGGACGTGTGTTTTGTAATTTTCGAAAATGAGTGTTTTTAAATTTTTACTGACTTTATAGCCAGCATATTCAACCAGTAGTTGGCGAGGAATCTAGTATTAGACTGAATCTCTTCTCATGTAATGAAAGTCTTGCGACCTAGAACTTTCCATGATGAGATCATTCACATTTATAGTATACATCTAATAAGAAAGAAACCCGCGTGGTCTACTGTGATGTCCAGATAAAACTGGGCTGGTCGCCGGAGATTTGGAGTTGCATATATGGTGGTAAGATTTTAGTTATATAAAAGTAGTCTTAGATTTTCCGATGTTTGGAACAAATTATTTTTAAAGAATAGGACAAATGGCATTCTTGCTTGGGAAATGATGAAGAAGAGGGAACAGGGTGACAGCTGGCAAGTGTCACGAAAGCAGTTTGTGGGAGACGAAGTGGATGGAACATTTTTCATCGTCATTAATTTTTTTATTCGTTTCAAGGTCGTTTTGAACAAATAGTGGAGGGGTAGTTTCCAACTTTTCTTTTTTGTGAAGGGAAAATTGTTAGCTGTTACTGTTCCACAATTGTAATTATTTCAGGAATTGGGAAAAGGTTAAATTTCCTGAAGGAGGGGAACTTTGAATTTCAATTAAATACTGTGACAGCAAATTTGTTTTAGCTTAGTTCGCGAGAACATTGCTGAAGGGATGATGTTATAAAATGAGGGCATTGATAAATGTTTGGGTAGGATTGATGTAGCCCACGACATTATATTCCTTCACAATGTGAATTTCAGTGTTGGGTATGTTCGAGGGTCCGCTGCTTTGTTTGATGGTATCACCACAAATGATGTATCTGTTTAATATTTTTCAAACGAATGTTTTTTTGATTTAGCGAGTATTTAGGTTGTTATGTAGTCATTGAACTGATAAGAAATATGATGTCCTTACAATTGCGATCTAGTGTGATTATCGCTGGTGATTGTATTGTTATCCTTTGTAATACAATGTTTTTTCTTCAATTCTCGTGATTTAGGTTATGTAGTTATTGGTAGTATGCCTTTGCACAGAACACTCCGGTTAGGTTTTAGATCAGCATTTCTAGTGACCTAATTTACACCTCCTGAACTAAATCAGATTTTATATTCATTGAGCTGGTTCCCCTCATCCACTGGTGAATATTATGTTTTCATTAATGTATGCATCGCGATTTACCTATCTAAATTTCTGAAACTCATGTTTTATCAAATTTCGGAAAAAGATTTCAGGAATTTGCATAAACAAGGTGAATCGTAGCGACAGACGAGCTAAGCAATTGTTGCTGCACAAAAGACATCTTCCCTTGGTAAAACCGTATTTTACCCGTAAATTGTCGTTGGTTATTGCTGGCTGTTGCTGTGCTGCTGCAATCCTAGGCATTCCTTGTGGTGCACGCTGGCATGCACCATCCGTGCACGACAATCTTCCCGGGGTTGTCTTTTCTTGGCGTATCGTTACCCTATTTTGCTGATTTTAATTTGTTTCAATTTCTGAGGTTACTACGACCGGTGTCACTGTTGGGAGATGACATTTACTAGTGACGACGTCAATTTTATCATCTACAGATATCTACATGAGTCGGGTTCGTTTGTGTTTGTCTTTTGTCAATCATAAAACTTCAATGAGTCAAGCCCCTCGGTAAACAGTAGTTAGTTTGGATTGATTTTATCGAAATGAGCTCTTAGGATTATATTCCTATCCGTTAGGAGATTGCGAAGCGTTAAATAATGAATGATAATAATATACAGTCTGTAAAAAATGAGTGGATTGATGGTGTCTAAAACACGGGACAAAAATGTTGTGCAATCTACAATATTGGTAGCGATTATCAGTCTGTGATTGTGCGTATACCGTTAAATATTCACGCGTTATCTTGGTAGTAGGATGTCGATTCTTGTTTGTTACAAACCGTAGATTAAGTAGTTATAGCTTTGGGTATTTAGCTGAGTTTAAGTATCATCAGGATACCTAACAATTTCACAGATGTTCTCAGATTCTTTATTTCATAATCTTTAATAATCCTTTTAAAAACTTCCCGATTTTTGAAACCTAATCGTGAGTTTCTCTTCAAACATCTTTGTATTCTAAATATTAATGTGTTTAGAAAAGATTTCATTTTACTAAATTATCAAGGAGTAGCAATTGTGAATAAAATTTTTGTAGCGGTATAATTTTCTAAATGCAGGTTTTGTGCATACGGCTTACACATTTGCCAATGAATCGCGTGTTCTCGAGTCCGGAGCTGCGGGTAACGATGTGCCCATGGGTGCATTAATTAATATTATACAGGTTTCCTTTTGTTATTTTAGATTTGCGTCCATCATTAAATTTTGTTTCTCAAATGTTTGTCGAAGGAGACTCGTAAGATAAGTTATGCATTGGGGATCCACATTATGAATTTTGGCAACAGTAATTTTCATGTATATTTTGTTTTTCTGTTAAAGACCAAATTCTGAACACTGCAGAAGGGTATTTATTACACGGAGGCTGAAGCATGTGCTGTGGCAAGCACGAGTGCCGCCGGTGAGCCACGAACTGAAAAAACGATGGTAGAAAATTTGTCCCTGCTTGAAGCAGGTAATTATTTCACTTCGAATATTTAAGGCACTATTTTATCGAAGAGTTGTTTTTTGAAGTGTTCAGTAAAATACTGTATTGGAACATCCGGAAGAGTAAATTTCGTCGTAAAAAAAACTGTCCATATAATGAAAAACTCATTCCTCCTCAGGAAAGATTTTTTGCTGAACACTCCAAAACTGTGAAATGTTTATAAAGGGATTAATTTGTGATTTGGTTCATCACTTAATCCCTATTTAAAAGCGAGTCATGTCCCGGTTGCAAAAGTGCTTTCTGCAAAAAGGAAGATGTTAGAATCTTAGTTAAAACTCTAGAGAGAATAAGGATTTATGATTTTATTGTCGAAAAGCTAACGATTCAAGATGTCAGTGCTATTCTACCGCAGAAATGCATTGGTTGATCTGACTCAACATCTATACATTTCAATAGTTTAATAAGTATTCCTAGTACTGGCAGTGGTACGGTGTTGCGAAACAAAGAATGAAATTGATTTAGCACTTCCTAAATTCTCTGATCAACTAGGGTTTTTTTATGTCCTTCAGTGGTTATCACATTAAAAGCAACTAAGTTACGAGATTAGCTCATATAAAAATTGTAGAAACACAGATTGTATGAAAACTTGGTGTGTTTCCAGTGTTAATTGTTGTGGCTAAATGTAATAACGTTAGCTTAAATAAAGCAGCAAGTATCACTATTTGTAATGGAGATGAGGAGCTACAAATATCATTCAAAGGAGAAGTGCCTGGAACAGAAAGTAAATCATGAGACGATTATTCTGTGCAAATAGTTATGGTTACCAGAACAAATAGTTACCGGAATATTCACTCCCAAAAGTTGCTAATAAATTTGACATAGAAGTCTGTAGAGAAAGGCATCATAAAGAGAAAATTTAAGGTATTCTGTTTACTATACTACTCACAGCTGAGGGTTTTAATCTTATGAAATTAGAACTGCGATATGAATCTCCGGCGTCTTTATCGGTTCTCTTAGATATGTTTTCGTGACAGGTAACACTAGATGGATTTTGGTGACGTTGTACGAAAAATGGAATATTCTATGCTGGATAAGTAGTTGGCGATAATTACTTATGTTGGATGAACTTGCGGCAAAAAAAAAAAAAACTTTATTTACGAAGTGGCGCTGGGAATCAGTAATGTTCTCACGTTCTTTGTGCTACGCGTTCGCATATTTTTAGTTCTAAATGAAGTGCCGAGTAATAAAATCAAGGAGAAGCAACAGGATAAGATGGGAATGTTGAATTCAGCCGTTAGGGATGATAGGCAGCAACAACAATTGAGAGATCGAGAAATGCGTGAAGCTCATGGTGAAAAGCAAAACTATTCGATTTCAAAGACGAAAGAGTTAAAGGTTTACAATTTGCGATTTATGGGATTTATTTTGTTCAAAATTGCTACGGTGGACTACAATGGATTGATTACCGTCTTTTTTTTGGACTTGGGATAAACTGTACGCAAGTAAGCTTCTAACATGGGACGAAGATCATGGGAATTGGAAGCTAGAACAAGAGAATGGCATGCAGTTGCGCTTAATCGGTTTCAGGTCGTCCCTTCAACGTCGACAACAATGTTACCTTTCGGTAGCATTGGCCAACCTTCCGGTGTAAGCGGTGGTAATGGTAGCGGTTCAAATTCAAGTGTTATGGGAGTACCTACGACCAGTACGTCAGGGTTATTACCCAACAATCACCAGCAGTTTCATCCTTCCACGGCTAGTATTACCGGACAGTCGACGGTGACCTTTCCGCATCACGGGAAGCAGTTTTTTCTGGAACGGGAAAGGGAGTCGCGAGATCGGTCACAAAATGGATTGATGGGCAAGGCTAAAGTTGCAGCTGCTGAATTTCGTGCTGCCCAGGCAAACAACGGGTATGTTTTTTTAAACAGTCTTGTGTTATTTTGAAGAACTTATGAATTAGTTGTAATTGTTGGCACCTAAATTCTTGGTTCGGGTGCACGTGATCAAGTAAAGTTACTGTATTCTTTTTTAACTGATTGCACTTGTGTCATTTCTTTGTAATGGAAAGCTCAACCGGCTTGACCAGGCACAACTACAACTTGATGTGGGTACTAAAGTGATTTTTTTTGGGGTCGAATATACTTTTGAGAAGTCATCAACTGTTGTAGTGTCTAACTCGAAGATTTAAGTATCTTCTTACAGGAATAGATCGCCAAAAAAATCACTTCCAGGAACCATATGTTTCTGTTAAGAATAGGTCTCTTACGCTTGCTTTTATCGAATCACGTCTGTGTAAATTTTTTAAATACACTTATCCGATTATATGATCTTGTGGTGATCATAAAACAGGAGTGGGTTCAACCGAAGTCTTATAATTTTTTTTAGCATAAAATTTTAAGTAAGAGAATGATTAAGCTTTTCGATCCTTTTCCTTGTGTAATTGCAAGACTTGAACTAGTCGTGCGTTTTATTGCGGTAGGATTTTTTTCTGAATCCAAACGATAACGATGATGCAAAATTTGCAGCGACTTCAATGGAACACCGATGGAGATTGATGGTTTAAAATCACGCGTGAACAATGGTAATGGTATTCTTTCAACTGCGCAGCTAGAAAATCGACCGTATGAAATTAGCAGGGATAAGGTGATTAAATAAATGCTCGCAATGGCTGCTTTTAGAAGAGGAAACAAAAAAGACGTTGCAGAGCAAAAGATTTAGTGAACTGTTGTACTATCCCTCTCCAAGTTTTATCTTTTCAGGATTTGTTTATTTAAGGTACGGTATCTGAAGGGACACGATAGCGAGGTATTCATTTGTACGTGGAATCCAAAAAATGATCTCATAGCTTCTGGGTAAACTTTGAAATTCTTCAGATTTAAGCGTTTAGTCCAATAGGAACCAAATGTGTAAATGTAGGCAGTGTCATACTCGTTTCCTCCCCGACATTCACTCATCTTTCGAGAAGACTGTCGTTTCAAGACCTTTTAGGTTTCAAGACCAGCTGACTTAATCGAATCTATTTAAGAGATGGCTACAAAAAAACGAGTGGACAGCCGTGCTATGTTAGGGCGGGTATTTTGTCCCAGTTGTGCCGAGAATCTTGGGTTAAGAAGCGCAAAACGCTCTTATTGTTTTGGTTGAATAGTAAAGATCTTAATCACAATAAAAATGATGCCAAGTAAAACGGACGTTTTGTGCAATTAGTAAGAACTAAATTTATGATGCTAGATATGTTATTTTTTGGCCGAAATACCATCCATTTTTCTTATTAATAAAGCATGATCGGCATTCAAAACTTTAATTGGGTACTGAGATTCATTTGAGTGCGGAGTAACATAGTACAGATATCATTTTACACCGTACTGGCTGGTGTAAACTTTAACATTGTAGGTCCGGTGATAGTACGGCACGTATATGGAATGTACATGGTTCAGAGCTAGCAACAACGTCATGCCAAGCTATCCATGATAATTCAATAGTGCTCAAACATTGTATGCAAAAAGATGACAAAAACCCTCCTACAAATAAGGACGTTACTTCTCTTGATTGGAATGTTCGTTAACATTTCTTTTCTTGGTGGATTTTTTCCGAATGTTGCATTCTGTGAAGTTCGTATTTGTCCGCCTGTGCATTTGTCGTCTGTGCCATTGTTTGAGTAGCATTAATCATTTCCTGACATGGCACGAAACAAGCCTTGATTGGGTTAGAACGTGTTTAGTTGAACTGACTTGTGACTTGATATGTTTTGGAATAAAAGAACTTTTTTGCGTAGTTTCCATGATACCAAGCGTTGCAGATTTGAGTTCTAGAGGCAGTATCTGTCTTTTACCAGCATGCACCCAAGTGCTATTCTGCTACTTCTGGTCATTTGGATATGCTAATATTTCAAAATTATCCTTAGTTGAAAGAAAGACAGCACCCAACTCTAATTTTAATTTAAAGTTATAGTTGGATGTTGTATTCGTGTAATTTATGTTAATTGGAAATGCTGTCTCTGGTTTCACAAATTTTATTTTTGGCTTCAGGAAGTTGACGGAAAAAAACTATTGTTTTGTTATTCCTAAAGGAACACTAAAACATTAAGGTCCTTAGGGAACACTCTTCCGACTTTTCCTTAAGAATCGAACCCTGGCAGAATATTTTTTGGAAAGTTTCTGTCACCGATAGATTCCTAAATTCAGATATCACATTTATATCGTCAATAAGAATGATTTCAGTTTTTTCACGATTCATATGTTCTGATATACTTCATCATTTTTCAGTGTACTGGTGATTTACTTGCAACTGGATGCTATGATGGTTATGCGCGCGTTTGGGCTACTGATGGTAGGTTATATATCCACTGTCATTTCATTGTGTTTATTGTCATTTTGATGAATAAAGGAATTCATATTTATCTCTTATTTTAGGAAGACTGCGTTATACGCTAGGAGCTCATAAAGGTCCAATTTTTGCACTGAAGTGGAACCAAAAAGGCGATAAGATTCTTAGTGCCGGAGTTGATAAGGTATATAATTTTTGTCTTTATTTTCACATATATAAGTTCCATTAATAAGTTTTGAAATTTATTTGATTAGTTAATTATCTTTATGGAAAATTTCTTTAGCAGAAATTTCAGACAACCATTGTTTGGGATCCACTTAAAGGTATACAAGTGCAAGTGTTTCAATTTCATAGCAGTTCGGCACTGGATGTTGATTGGATGTCAGATGATACATTTGCATCCTGTAGTACGGATATGTGCATCCATGTGTGCAAATTAGGTTGCGAGAAGCCGTTGAAAACATTCCAGGTAATCTTATTTCTCTAAATTCATTAGATTATTAGGTATTGTACTATGGAGGAAATGTGGGTGCTGTTATCCTCTTCAGATTGCATTTTTGTCTTGAATTTAGTTAATCCTTCATTTTCGCTAGTATTGTATCGTCTGGTAATTCACTGCCGAGTTGGTGGAGATTTTAAATTTTACTCAATAGATTTCATTATCAATTTTGTTATGCTAAAGAAAACTTCCGCTCCTGAAATGTGATTTAGGATACCCAAAATATAATTTTTCTACCGAGATTCCTGTTTTCCAGTTTAGAAGAAATTAGATCAAATCAAATACATTTTAGGGTCATACAAATGAAGTGAATGCGGTAAAGTACGACGTATATTCACGGCTTTTGGCTTCGTGCTCCGACGACATGACATTGAAGGTAAGTGTTTTTCGTCTGAAAAAAGTTTTCATGCAACAAAGCTGTAGAAATAACTACCTCTCTATTTGGGAAGGTATGCTTCAATTCAAATTTTATCCCAGGTATGGTCAATGAATTACGAAAATGTGGTACACAATTTAAAAGCACATGATAAGGAAATCTACACAATACGTTGGTCGCCAGTTGGTTATACACTTGCAAGGTAGTCTTTTGTTTTTGTAGCAATGAATAAGTTTTCAGAAAGTTTTGGTTATAGGACTCCAGTAAAAATGCTAAATTTTGAAATTCCTTTATGTCCATTTAAAATTTAATTGAAATCTAAGTTATATGCTGAAGAAGCTGTTAATTGCAGTGCATCTTTCGATCATACAGTTCGTTTGTGGGATATCGAACGGGGGATGTGTGTTCGAACGCTGACGAAGCACACGGAGCCAGTTTACTCTGTTGGTTTCTCGCCAGATGGAAAGTATATCGCATCCGGTTCATTCGATCGTTCTGTCTACATTTGGGATGTACAGGTTAAGACTTTTTCTTAGATTACGAAATACTTTGTGTTCCTATATTTTCTTCAGAATCCCTAAAAATCTAGATGTATTTCGAGTATCCTAAGTCACTTTTTATGCTGTTCAGGATTACAGTTATTCCGCTAGATCGATTAGTGAACTAGTTATTGAAAAACTTAATACCAGGGAGGGAAAAGAAATGTGAGATGATTCTCTGTGCTTTTACCCATTCTTTAAGCTTTCGTTTATTTCGTTATCGTTAATGAAAGCACATTTAATTCGTCGCTGAAAGCCTATTTTTGCTAATGCTAAAAGTCTGTTTCTATTGAGGAAGTTAAATCTGTTAAATTTTCAGTCAGGAAAATTAATTCAAAGCCATACGGGAAGTTTAAGTGATGGTGGAATCTTCGAAGTAGGTTGGAACTTTCGGGGCGACAAAGTTGGTGCATCAGCGAGTGACGGAACGGTTAGAGTTTTGGCAGTTAGACCAATGTCACTCGTTTTAATACTCCGCTTGTCTTTTTTGGGATTTGTTTTGTAAGCTTCCTTGGGATCTACTGTACTGAGTTGTTTTTTACTTAATTTAACTGATTTATGTTATCGCTTGTCAATTCACGTAACTTTTTCGAAGAAGGGGTAAATGTTTGCCGTTCAGGATCCATTATACGTCGTGCATTTTAGGTAATCATATTGGACGTACGACACATCAAGAATCGGTTGTTGTGAACTTTTTGATAGTTGTTAGCGGGGATCACAAATTCATCACTACTTAAGTTATTTGAACAGTTTACGATTTGTCGAAATGAGAGTTTTTCTTAAATTGTGTTATGGGCTTGGTTGTTAAAAGGAGAAGATATATTTCTGCCAGTTTTGTACAGGTTATTCAATTTATTAAATTTGATTATTTCTCATATTTTCCTTAGGTTTCGGTTGGAATTTGAGCTCATCTCTGTTGTTGAAGCAGGGGATATGCGCTGAACTTACTTTGTTTGTTAACACCTCTCTCTTTAGAATTTTCCAATTTTAATGTTTACTTTTGTTATTTATGAGTTTGATTATTAGTGAATAGGCAGATGGTCACGAATAGGAACTAGGAAATGAAAACATATGTCTAAGAACGACTAACTATCCCAGTCACTCTGCCATTTTAATTAAAGCCAGACGTGTTCCAACTGTTGCTTCAGTTCGTGGCCATAACGTCGTAAATTGCTAACAGTCTGCCTTTCAACTGTATTTCGTTCCTTTCTCAAATTTATATTGAAATATCGATTACTGAGCCTCGTCCTGTTCTTTTTTTGCGCTTGTTTTGTTTTGATGATTTATACGATATTTCTTTACTGTTTCGAACGGTGGGTTTTCCCTGTTTAATCAGCTTCAGTTTTTTATCGTTGCTGTATTTTCATAACTATGTTGACTGTTTTTTGCTCTTGTAGCTTTCATTTTATCAGGTAAGTTGTCGTTGGATCATGAAAAATTTTTTCCAACTGGCAACAGAGGAAGAAATAGTTCAGACTATGAATGTTGATGAAATGTTTGAATTTTGATGATTTTATGGGTTCAAGTTCAAATTTTGAGTGATCGTGAACTCTTTGATCCCCATGTTTTGTATTCAATTTACTCTTGTAGCACTACTGTCCGTCTTCGTCAGATAGGTTAAAGATGAAATTTATCCGAGGAAAAGTGAGTACTGGAAAATGGGAAATTTCTGGGAATTTTCCATAATTCCTGATGTGAGCCATAGTCATGATGCGCTTTTTTAAACTTTTTTGTTGTTTCATATCTTATTTTTCTACTGCAAGCTCGTCCTTCGTCTTATGAAATTGAACCAAATAAAGATACTGCATATCCGATCGAAGATGCTGTTCCAAAAAATTTTTAAGCGATCAGCAGATTTAGCTGTTTGGTGTTGGAATTAGCTCTTAATTTTTAGGAAATAAAATCAAATTTCAGTGAATGGATTGGATATAATGACGGAATAATGTGAACATAGGGTGGAGTGGAAGTGAGTCAACTTCATTGAGCACTGTGTTATTGATTATTGGGTCATACAGTTTTTGCAGAAAACTTGTGAGAATAATGGAATAGTTTGTTCGTGGTGTAGATCGGATCTTGAGAATTGTGTGAATGATTCAAATGGGGAAGCAAAGAATCGGAATGAGCATCGCTAAGGCGGTAACTTCTGCTGCAATAAGCTTGCCTCTCTGTCTTGTTAAGGTACAATGAGTCATTTTTACCCGACCTACATCTACCATATTGTAAGCAATTTTGTTTGTGGATTGAGATTTCGGGAGTTTTGAGGTTGAAACCTGGAAAGCAAGGAATTAAATGGGAGGGGAAGTGGTTTTAGAAGTTTGTTGTGCACTTCCATTCTCAGCCGCAAATTAAAGCAGTTTGCCTAGGAAAAAGTGAGTAAATGACAGGTAGCTCAATCTCTGTTTCATTTGATTTGTGTTCGTAACGCCTGTTCGACTGCAGGGGTAGGTTGTGTGGAGGGGAGTGGAGTGTACTTGACAATACTTCGTAATGGATGGGTAAGGAACAACAGCAGAAATGTACATCCTTTCCCAGTTTACAGACTTTGTAGCAAATATACAAAGGTATTCAACACCTATCCCACACTTACGGTAGTATCCCACAATACCGTGTCTCGACTCTTCTCTTAAGGCTTTCCCGGAGGATTGTCCTACTGAACTACCGTTTCTCATACATTAGTCCGTATATGTAAATGTACGTCTTGTAGTTTGAATTTCCAAAGATTTGTTTATAGTGCCGAACATAGTTGTTATGTCTCTTCTCAGTCATATCCATTTATCAATATGCGTCTCTTGATACATTCTTGCAACTTGTACCGTTCCCGTCATCTCCGCATTGATTCAAATGTAACTTGTGCATTGTTCATCAGTGTGTTATTAGCTTCTTTACCTTGCATTTTTAGAATGGTTCATTCGGGCTTAATAATGAAAACCGCACCTTCCTCTTGTTACCCTTCATATTCTACTATATGTCATTAGCTTTTTTTTGCAATCTTTTTTCTTTTTTATTTATTAATTATTTTAAATGCAAAGTTATCATTTCTCCAATATGATAGTACATTTGGATTTTAGAGCTCAATATGAGCAGATATATGGAGCTGTAATTAGGAATTATTCGTTAGAAAAATCAAACGAACTGTGTTCATTAAAATGCAAATTAATCGCGGCGCTGTTCAAAAATAAATCTCCTATCTGAAATGACGGAAAGTAGTTTTCATTGGCTTTGGCCTCTTAATCTGGGCTACCTGTTGGCTGGTTTCATTCTTGTTTCCGTTTTTGCGAGACAGCATTGACTGACCGGACAATCATTTATCCTTTATCTAGCTCACTAATTAACTTGATGGAAACTTCGATACTTCCAAAAGGTGTATGTTTACGTGTAAATCGATTTAATATGCTGTGGAAAGGAAAATCTGTAGCGTAATCGAATATTGAGCGTGGACAGTATTGGGAGGAAGGGAGGAAGGATTAATATGTAGTGGTGAGATTAATAAGCGTGATCGTTGAAGTAGTATCACATTACTTCATCCTAAATAAAATGTCAAAGCAAAGTGGATTGAACTATGTAAAAGACATCATTAACTTTTCACTTTTTTATTTCAGAGATGAGATGGATGATCGGGAATTGAAAGAATATATCATTGATAAACTGCATAATAGCTAGACAAGAGTATGTCTACTGATTTTAATGTCGTTGGTACTCTTTTCTCTCAGGTAATTGCCTTTTCCTACATAATTAATTCTTTTCATACATTTAAAATTATCATAGTTTAACTTGAACAGTTGTAGGTCTTTTGAAATTATCATAATTTTAAGTGATTATAGGCATAGTTCTTATATCATTATTTGATGAAGTTGTAGCAGTAAATTGGCGTTAACAGTTAGATAATTAAATACTGTGTAGAAAGATGAGCAGTACTACAGTTCGATAGCGAAAAAAAGTGTAACAAAATCTATAGTCATAAATGATATATTTTATAAAGGATATAAAAAATTTTCGATAAATTTCAATTGATGAGTTTTTGAAATTTGAACAGGTTGTTAGAAAATTTGTGACTTTCAAATTTTTTTTTCGTAAGTATTTGGAAATGAAAACAGAAAATGCGTAATGCGTATTCGATCTCGTAATGATGCATAATTTTCAGACTCCAACCAAGCAAAAGTGGAAGAATACAAAATATTGTCTGAATCAGAGGGCATCCTGCTTCGATATTAGTCCTGATGGTTCTTCGTTTTTGATCGGTGAAGTTAACGGTCAACTCGTAACCTTATGTATTTCGTGTGTCATTTCTTTGATGTTTACTAGTTATGATATACTACTTGACTTGTCCGTTATTTGACTGTATGAGATGTAATACGGAGTCTGTACCTCTTTCCTTACATGTAATTGAATGTTTGATCTATGAGATGTATGGAGGTTGTAGATGCTCGACAAAATTAGAAAAATATCTTCGTGTTTGCGGAATTAAAAAACGAAGGAAGCAACGATACTTATGCGCATAATAGGAGTTATTAAAACATACTGTGTCAGTTCCAGCTTTCCTTGTTGGATGATTAAAATTCTGATCAAGTCATCATCATGAAATAATCATTTTATCGGCTGAGTATTGAGGGATGGAGAACTGATGGTATCAGATTCGTGCGAACGGCACCGGTCCAGAATCATCGACATTGCATTCAATCCGACGGCCGACTTGATTGCTACCTGTTCTAATGAGAATAGAATTGAGCTGTCCTCATTTCGAGTAGATCTATCTAAATCAGGTCTAACTGAACCAATAGTTTTAACTTTAAAATGGTTTATTTTTACTTATATTCATTAATCTATTTTTCAATAAAGTAGGTCTTGCTATGGAATTCTAAATCTAAATCAGTGATAAGACAGATGGATACATGTAATCAATATTAGTAAAGTACAAACAAAGATCTCCATGTCATAAATGGTGATTTCTTGAAACGAATTAAAATAAATTTAGGAAATCGGAGGATTAGTATATCGACGAACGAACCGGTGAGGGCACTTACTTTTATGGAAGATTTAGCCAATCATTCCAATATCTTATTTTCTGGTACGGGTCGTCAAATTTGTATTACCGACTGCTCTTCGGGCACTACATTTCGTGTTCTGAAAGGTCATAAAGGTGAGTTATCTCAACTAGGAGGATATTTATAGCGATTTACACTGCTGGAACTTCATAGATAAGTATGCCAAGACTAATTAATTTCCAGTGCATCGAATTATAGTAAGAAAATTATGCAGGTACCATTAACTGTGGACGAATTTAATTAAGGAGAAGAGTCGCGGAAATGATTACTTTACAAACCATAGCTCACTCGCTTGATGGCTTTAATTAAATTGCAATATTCTAAAGATATTCTATTATGCAAACACTGCAAAAAATCTATGCAATAGCCTCTTGTGGTTGAGTGGACTGTGAAATAAAATTTAGATTAGAAGTGAAAGAAATTAAAATATGTTCTGGAATTGATGGATGAAGTTGATACTAAATCAATAGGAAGAGGATGTTTAGGTAAAATCGAAAAATATTTCTTTAAAATTCGAATTTATACATTAGGTATGGTAACAGCACTTTGCACATGGGGTGGTTGTCTGTTTGCCAGCTCATCAACCGATAAAACGATCCGTATCTGGGATACGCGTGTCACTGAAGCTGTCAGAATATTTGATCCACTTACAAAACCTGGAGGTATGTTTTATGTTTCTATGATATGCTTTCGTTATCTCTACTTCGGAAGATAAGGCGGTGCAAATCGTATCATAGTTCCCACTTCCTTTGTCTATTTCCCACGCCTTCATTAAATTCTTTGCTGAAGTATTGAAGTTGTTACCGTTTTTACTGATATCTAAGTTAGATAGATCTCGTTCTAATCTATTGAATCTCCGTATACTAGAATTGTAATATGAAATGGTCTCAAAGATCAAGTTAAAGATGTTTTCTCTAATCCTTATTTTTGTCAAAAAAGAACTTTACACCAGTCTGTATGATAAATATGGATAGAACTTCATGTAAATCATAAATTTATTGTGTTATTAAGTCATAAAAACAAGTGATGATTTGTTAATTTCAAACAGTGGGTGCTTTTCACGTGGATGGCAACGGTCGAATTTTGGTACGTGGTGATGGAAACGGTGAAGCGCATGTATTTGATACATCATCAACTAAGAAAATTATAACCAAGCGGATTTCCAAAGGACCAATTTCATGCCTTCGTATTGCCAACTCACAACGGTTTATGGCTGTTGCTGATGAAAAGAGGTCATTAATCGCTGAAAGTCAAGTCAAGTTCAAATGAAATTTGAGAATATTGGTCTTTCATGTTACCCAATTATTGTTTTTAAATTAAATTTTTTTAAACTTAACTGTAATTCATAAGGGTTTTTTTTTCTCCCCCTTTCCTATCTTTTCTTATCAACTTCCGACTAAATTAATCATATTTGTTTTTTTTTTCGCTTCTTATTCTATTTATTCTATTTAAAGTCAATTTCAGAATCAATCTCTGTGATCTACGCGATGTATTTCAAATGCCTGAGTCATCATGTGTTACAAAATGCACTAGAAGATGCATTGTTCTCAAGTTTGTTAACACCAGTTAATACTTTTAACATAGATAAAGAAATCACAATCATGCCAATTGATTTCTATTCCGAATTTAATTGTTTGAAGCATTACCCGAAGAGTATGTTCATCAACTTTAAGCATGCAAATTTAGATGGCATCCTATGAAACCGTCATTCGCAACGCTAGATAACGAAAGTGCCTTGAATTTGTGGCAGTTGGGACAGGAAAAATCTTGTACAATGGGCGAGTAAGTTCAAACACCGACCTTAACAGTGCTTAATGTTTGAGCAAAAGATCATTATTGTTCATATTCGAAGACAACGGATATGGACTTCATGTTTTGAGCAGTGAAATTTCATTCATTACTATGTTATGTACTGCGATTTAATTGATACAACTTATTATGTCGTTACAAAGTGAAATATATGTGATTGGATTATACATCACTTGTTATATATCAGTGAAAAAATACCAGTGAAAAGATACGTAGTAAGTTCTAGAAAGAACGTTTTTGTGGCAATATAGAGATGAAATTAGCAGAAGTTTAATTAATGCTTAAGCAACCAAAGAATACCAACAATTTCCTTACATATCGGACAATTAGATGCATGGTTGTGTACTGAGTTATATGTATGATAGCAGCTTTGATTATAAATTATTCTAAAAGTTTTTTTTTTTTTTTTTGCAACAAATGTCTTGTTTTATAAATTATCTTCATGACCTGTAAAATGTCGATGTTATTTCGAAACGGACGAAAAAGAAGTTAAATCAATGAATAAGTTGTGACAGATGACAAAAATATAAAAGCAAAAGTTATTTGTAATTAACAAAGTATAGCAGACAGCTCATCAATGATGTGTACATGTGATGCACTCATGAAGGGGGATAGATATGTCTTTGGATTCTCAAGAAAAGTGGAAAATTCGTTACAAGTGTACACATCTTCTAATGATGTAATTTTTTTATTATAGCAAGTAGTTCTGTTTGGATAACGAATTAAATCATGTGGACAAATTGCCAGGGGCTGGATTTCACATTTTCCTGCATTCATTTGTCTTTGAGTGTTATTTATTAATTT